AGCAGATTCATATGCTTGCTGCAATATGCCAGGTGCCAAGCCCTGCGCTAGGTAGGTGCTGGGGGTGAGGAGATGAATGTGACACAGTCCCTGAGCTCCGTGCTCCATATAGGATCCACACTGGTTCTTCTTCTTCTTCTTCTTCTTCTTGTTTGTAAAAAGATTTTATAGGGGAATTGGGGAAGGGGAACAGCCAAGTTGTTGTCTTTCAATCTTAGTTGTGGAGGGCGCAGCCACCTCAGCTCCAAGTCCAGTCGCCATCAGGCTGCCCGTCGGCAGCTCATGGCCACTCAGCTCAAGGTGCCGTGACTCCCACCATCCCACGCGGGAGTCAAACCAGCAATCTTGTTGTTAGGAGCATGTGCTCTCACCAGCTGAGCCATCCTGTCACCTGTTGGCAGCTCAGCTCAGGCGCAGCTCACTGGCCCATGTGAGAATCGAACTGGCGACCCTGTTGCTCAGAGCTCGCGCTCTTAACCAACTGAGCCACTTGGCCGGCCCCTGGTTCTTCTGATTTTAACCAATGACTGATGAGTGGCCCAAGTTGGCCTCCAGTGGGGCAGTTACTTAAAGACCTGGGAAACAGTGGACAGAAGAAAAGTGTCTTTGAGTGAGACTGACGTGGTTTCAGATAGGTATGCGGGCCTCAGTTTCCCCACTTATAAAATGGGACTAATTTTAGCACTCACCTCCCAGGGTTGTCATGTGGTGATGCATTTGAAAGGCCTAGTGCAAATGTCATAGCTCTGTCGATGCCGGCTGCCCTTCTCTCTTCTCCCATCCTCTCAGGCCTCTCCCCCCAACTCTTACAGACTTTGTTCTTCGCTCTGCCCAGGAGTGGCCTCAGCTCCAAGTTGTCCTTCCCTCTCTAGGCTGCAGTTTGGCCTCACTCACCGCCATGGAGCCTCTCCAGGCCAGGGCTCTAAACAGATACAGCTCCTGTCCTCACTGTCCTGGAGATAATCAAAGTCACCCTGCGCCCAGGAGAGGTGGTCTGTTGGGGCTTGTTTGGGACTTGTGGCAGATTCTACATGGTGTTACCTCCATAGGCAGTCCCCCTGGCAGGCCGGCTGCACTTGGCGCTTTTAAGGCCTGAAGCAGAGCCTCGGCCTCGCCCACCTGGCCTGAGCAGGGGTCCACATGTGCCGAGGCCCCTGCTCTCCTAGGGATCTGCTGACTCACTGGAGAGAACCTCTGCCTAGGAGTTAGAGAAGCAGCAACTTTAGTTTCTGACTCTCCTTGAGTCAGCATGGCTGAAGACTTTTTGTCTGTGAAGAGGTGCCACTGGAGCGCTTCTGGGAAACTCCAAGAGTGAGATGATTCTGCCCACGGGTCCCCCAAGAGAACCCAGCCTGGCTCCTCAGTGGAGCAGCACTGGCCAGGCCAGTGGACTGGTTTCCTTCATGGGAAGCAGAGGACTCAGAGCAACGGACTGATGAGACACGTCGCCAGTCACCCCACCCTATGCCTCTTGGTGAGGCAGCAAGAGACATGTCAGCATGTTTGGGTTTCACAGCTGCAGAGCATGGCTTCTGTCCAGCGCCCTCATTTCTAATGCGTGGAGGTTTGCAGAAAGCTCTCACCAGGTGAGTCCCAGGAAGCAGGTGATGGAAACCTGACCTTTCTCCCGGCCTGCAAGCAGCTGTTTTATTCTTAGTTTTATTTATTTCTTATCTTTATTTTTGCAAGCAGCCGTTTGAAACACAGGCTTGCTCAGGTTCCTAGGCGGGGAGCTGTATTCAGTTGACTTCCACCATACGCAACAGCACCTGTGCCCTGTTAGTTGCTGTACTACTTTGTTTGGTAACACCAGCCCATCCTGGTCACCAGGACGCTTGGTGGTAGTGATCAGACAAAGGATGGACAGGCTTTCAACAAACTATGCTTTCAAACTGTGAGTGATCATTCATCCATTAACAAATCCTCCATCTGAGCACATGCTCTGTGCTTAAACATAATAGATAAAGGCTGACCTTACCTGTGGGGAACTTATAGGAGAGATGGAGACCCAGGAGGAAGACACGGCATCTGATCCCCTGGGGAGTCTGGTGAGAGGCTGAAGCGGAAGGGGCTGCTTTCTTGAGGGAGGCTGTGAATTCTGGGCATAAGCACAGCTGCTTTCATGCCACGAGCAGAGAGGAGCAGTGCTTCCTCCTCTGGGCACCTTCTGGGACCTCAGAGGGGGTGATTGTGGCAGCAATGGGAGACGGCATCCTAGTTGTGGGCACTTGCCTTCACCCCAGGTTGGTAGCATCAGGGTGGTCCCCTCGGGTGGCTTCCTGAGTAAAACCAGAAATTCAGCAAGGTTGGGCTCATGTAAGTTTCACAAATGGTACACATGCCCCTTGAGGGCTCCCATGGATGTGAGGGCCATTGCAAGAGGTGGAGGTCCTCAATGGGCAAATAGGGGGAGAAGATCAAAAAGAAGGTGAAGTTTAAGCTGAGCATTGAAGGAGTAAGAATCTGCCAAGGGGAGGGCCAGCTGAGTGGCTCAGTTGGTTAAGAGTTGGCTTAAGAGCGCGAGCTCTGAATAACAGGGCCACTGGTTCGATTCCCACATGGGCCAGTGACGCTGCACCCGAGCTGAGCTGTCGCTGAGCTGCCAACAGGTGGCAGGATGGCTCAGCTGGTGTAACAACAAGATTGCCTGCTCGATGGTGGGCTACACCCATCTGCAACTAAGATTGAACTTGGCACCTTGAGCTGAGCTGCCACCGGGATGGCTCAGTGGATAGAGCGTGCGCTCTTAACAACGAGGCTGCTGGTTCGACTCCCACACAGGATGGTGGCTATGCCCACCCACAACTAAGTTTGAACACAGCACCTTGAGCTTAGAGGCCACGAGCTGCCAACGGGAAGCCAGATGGCGACTGGTGCCCTCCACAGCGAAGATTGAAGAATAACTACTTGTCTGTTCCCCTTCCCCAATTCCCCAACATTTTCCCCCTCCCCTAGTGCCCCAATAAAAATCTTTTAAAAAAAGGAATCTGCCAAGGGGAGAAGACAAGAAAGGTCATTCTAGGCAGGGGGATCAGCACGTGCAAAGGCGTGAGTGACCACTGGTGGCCTGAGACTATCAGGGGAGTCTGGTCTGCTGGGTGGGGACACAAGGATGCACAGGAGACATAGAGAAAGCGAGAGAAGTAAAGCTGGAGAGAAGGTGAGGCTGGCTCATGATGGGACCTCGCATGTCAGGCTGAGGTTTGGGTTTTGTCACAAGGGCAGTGAGAGCCCCAGATGTTTGTGAGCAAAGTGATGTGGTCCTGGACGTGTTTTAGCTTTGTTTGACAGATGTAGCAATGTGAAATCTACCCCCATCCATCATGTTTCTTCTGTTCATCTTCTCCCAGCTCTGCCCAGACCCCAGATTCTCAGAGTGGTCACTAGTCAGGAGAACAGAGTCTGCCTCCTGGTGGGTGGGGAGAGCAGGCCTCCTGTCCCTGCTCACGCTGGGCCCAGGGCAAGGGCTGGCTGGGCAGCTTGCAGGCTGGCAGGGAGAATATGGTCTGCTCTGCTGTGTCTGCAGCCACTGCCTCTGGACAGCTTGATTGATGACCCACGATGCCCAGCGCTCCTCACCGGTCAGCAGCACCATCTCTGCAGCAGCGGCCAAGTGAACCTGCCCCCTTTGCCTCCATTCCTCCTACAGCTGGCATCCCCTGGGTGGGCTAAGATGCTAAGACATCACCTCCTCCTGGCGCTTCCACCCTTTCTGCCAACCATGTTCTGGCCTTCTTTAAATCCTGGTCCTAATGCTCCTGTGCAGGACAGGTTTTACAGAATTAACATCCAGCCTGCTGTGTTCTGGTTTGTTCTTTTTTTTTTTTAAGATTTTTTTTTTATTGGGGAATTGGGGAATGGGAACAGCGCTGCAGAATTGAGGAAAGGGGAACAGACAAGTTGCTGTCTTTTTGTTCTTCAGTCTAGTTGTGGAGGACG